CTGTGATCACTTACAGTAGATTAGAATTTTTTATTGGCGCTGTGTTGCCATAACAACATGAAGACAGCAGATGACTTAAGCTAGGCTTGCAAAGCAAAAGGCTGCTCATCTGGCAGTTAAAATGAATACAGTTCATTTCACAAGTTTCCCATATGGACTCTTAGTGTATGGTAATGAGGGGACCATATGGTGAGAGAAAACACAGGGAGAACAATTGGGTTCCACTGACTATGAGGGAAGTGGGACAGACAGCCGAGTGAGAGATTCTGCTGTGCTCTCCGGGTTCGAGGTCTGGCCGAGGTTGGTTTCGGATGGTTATTTTCCATAGGGGTTGTGAGTTTCTTAATCCATTCCTTAATATGTCAGCTGTGTGAAATGACAAACATCTTGCAAATTTTGCAATATCATCCATCACAGACTGTCAGCAGTGTTTGCAAATCTGACTTGCAAGATCTTTTAAATGTGTTATTCTTAAAAGGCAACACTACTAAGTTTTTAGACAAAGTGCAGGAAAATTTAAGCACTTCTGACAAGCAGAAACATTAACAGTAATCATTTTAAAAACACTCGCATCTTTTGCCTGCATGTTTAGCTGTAAATAATGCTAGAATGTATAAAAGCTTTAAAGTAAAAATGTAATAAATACTTTTTATTATGTTTCATAAGGGATGAAAAATGCTCAGAGCCATGTATATGGGCTGTCTATCCATGCAAATGTATAGAGATAAATGGCACCCGCTCTCCTTCCTACTAACCAGATTGCGAACCTGGGAAGACAGCTTGAGAGATACTGTACAGTCAAGTCTACACTGTCCATGCTTCATAAAAGATGAACATAAATGCATTAGTTAGACACGGTGAGCTAAATTAGAAGGTCAGGCAGGGCTGGGAGGGCTGAAAAAAAAATCACACAACCAATGAGTGTAATTACTCTTTTTTAAGTCTATTAAGTGGTGTTGTTCTATCAAGGCTCAGGGGTCCAGGACATGAAGAACAAGATAAAGTAATGTGTATTTATTACTCCCACAGGATCAATTTACCAGATATTTTCAGCTCCATAAAGCAAAATACACAAATGTGGCCTTTGTTGCTTTTCTCAAACTGCTTGATTTTCTCTAAAAGAAATACTGGTTCTTGGAGTCAAACCCTGTTTGCCTGGTAGAGGGGGAATGAAAAGAAGCTAAGAATCTAGGCAGGGTGGGAGGCAGATGCCACTGAGGAAGTAGAGACAGAAACTCATCACTTCCATGAAGAATTATTTGGGTGGCCAGATCTGAAGGAAAAGTCGGGACTCGCCTTAGAAGACACAGGAGGCTTTGGAAGCCAGGACCCAGAGTTCAAGTCCTCGCTTTCTCACTTGGGAGCTCTGATGTCACAGCAGGTCACCAGACCCCCAGGGGCTCAAACTCAATTCCTCCTCTGTGGGATGTGAGATGCATACCATGCAGAATTTAGTGTCCCAATGAACTGTAGTCTCTTCCTTTGACTGGAACGCCCCTTTGTGTGCATTATCTCCTTAGATCCCAGCAGAGCTGTGAAGCAGCTGTTTCACTGAGGAGAAATCTGAGGCTTCAGTGTTGCATGAACCAAGTCCTGGCTCTCTTCCTCCAAACTCCTCCTGTGCCTGGCTTGAGAGGCCAGTCACCTGGCCTCTCTGCTCTGAAGCAGGCTTGATCAAATAGCACAAGACCAGCAATAGGTATGAAACAAACCCAATCCTGGTGTTCCACAATACACAGCCAATGTGTGGAACACCAGCTAGGCTCAAGGCCTGCTCTTGCTGTCTGTGGGCTGAAGCTCACGGGCTGCTCAGGAAGATAAGCATCAAACTAAAGAGGAGTGGCGATGGCGCCACTGGCTTCAAAGCTGAGAGAGAGCTCCTTGCTCAGTAGTTCCGGATCTCATCACTATAGCCATTGGCATCTCAGCTTCTGATTGACCAGAGTCCTCATTGCCCTCACCTCTCCATCATGAACAGTCAGTCCCGATCCCCAAAGCACAGGCTTCTCTTGTAGGATCCAGAAGACTTAAGGACTTTACACTGCCCTTTACTGTGTGTGTATGAAAGAAGGAACCTCCCAAACACAGAGGGTTAGCACAATTGCACGATCTGAAATCTGTGGGGACAGCAACTATAGTAAATGGTGACTTTCGGAGACAAAATAATTTACAGAGAAAGAATCTGCTTGCTCCTGTTTCCCTGTTTGGAGAATGGGGGGGAGATGTCTGCTTTTCTAACTTCTTTTGCAAGAGAGGTTCCAGTAAAACAAAGCATGTCCAAGTTCTTTGAAAAAGCACAAGCCTCTATACAAAGGCATATTATTATGGAAAGCTGTCTGCTTGGTCTTTGGAGCAGTTTCATTTGACAGAGTATGTGGGTGGTTGTATGAATCTAGCTTTGTCTATTCACAAACACATGGGTTTAATAAAGTGGAGTTTGTTTTTTAAGGTGTGTGGTCCGCAGCTCACTGAAACACTCCTGTTTGACAAACACTGCCCATGATTCTGAGAAAGGCGGAGCCCATTTTTGTCATCCTAACAATAGACAGTGGGAGGACAAATCTCCCCAGTCCACAGGAATACCTTGTGCTGGCTCCATCCGCCACTTCCTGACCCTGCCCTTGAACTCTTGCTCCACCTTAACATTCAGAGCCAAGAGGACAGCCACTCTGCTCTGAGTCACAGGGAGAGCTTCCTGGAGTGGGCTCCAGCCAGTCCTCCCTTCCAGCCTCTCAACTATGCAAAGTACAGTGTTTCCTTACACACACACACACACCCATTGTGTCCTTGATTTGCTCCTCCCAAACCCTGGAAGAAAGCGCTGAGCGGTTCAACCTTAGGCCCCCAGGGACAAAGTGACACGTGCCTGGGCTATTTGTCCAACATTTCTGAACATAATGTGCAATTGTGAAGATGTTTTTTTAAAGTAAGTACACAAGACTCAACCCCCAAATATTATTCATTTGTCTCCTATCCTTACGAAGAAACCACAATGCTGCCCAGCTACCTTAGACCACAACCAGACTTGTCTCCTGTTTTCAACCATATATAATTCTATAAAATTAGCATTATTATCCCCATTTTGTAGATGAAGAAACTGAGGATAAAGCACACATTCAGTTGATGGGATGATGATTTCCTGCACTGCAAAAAAATAGTCACAGCTACCTTCTGAGTAGCTGAGTCACTGATTAGACAACGCAAGAGATATCACCACTACCACTTGTCAGGTTAAGGAAACTGAGTCAAAGAAAGGGAAAGAAGATTTTAGACAGAGGTCACATGGTTAGCAGGTGACTGAGAGAGTACACAGTTGCACTTTTCTAATCTGGGCCCCCAGTCTCTGCTCTCAACCCTTCCGGGGGACCCTGAAGGAGAAATGCTAAATGAAAATCTATGAAGTGGAGTCACTCTCCAGATGGGAAGGACAGGAAGAAGGCGGTATTGGGCTGTGCTTGGTTGTACCACTAGGACAGCTACGGCCCTGCCCTCTACATGGACACACATCATGTCTATCCTTGTCCTTTAAGGTTTCCAGTGCGTCCCACAGGATTCATGGCAGCTTCATTCTTGCTAGACAGAGAATCAAAATCTCAGTGTCCCCACAGAACACCTATGACATGGAAGATGGCTGCTCACTAAGACAGGATGGAGGGAAGGAAGCAAAGATGTGACGGTGATGGCACATCACATTATTCCTTCCTCAGATGAAGTATTTGCCAGAACTTTCTACCAAAATGAATAGTACTTCACTAGAAGTCAGGCTGTTCTGAGAAACTGGAAGTTGTGTCCCTGGGGGTCGTGTCACAAGCCATCCTTCTTTAGTGGTATCCTGCCTACTCACATGTTCCTTACATGTGGGCATGGGTTCAAGAGGCAGCAGCATTGTGGACAGGACATGTTCTGAGAAGTGATTCAGTCTACACGTGCATGCAGGGAAGATTTTGGCCTGAGGAGGTCCCTGGGCTAGGAAGGATGCCGGCTTTGTTTCTGTGAGTATTTAATGGATATACGCAGACCTAGAAATGACACACCTGCAGACTGACGGTGGCAGGAAAAAGATCTCTCATCCACTCGTTTAAAGTGATGGTTTTTCCTGTGTCATAAATGAAATTTCGTTCTGTTGTCAATAAATGGTGAAGTATAGCCTGACTGATTCTAAAGTTGTCTCTGCTGAGACCTCGTGAAACTCTGCTGCATTTTTAAGTGCATATTGTATTTTCAGTTGTGTCTGCCATTCCCTCCCACACAAACTCCTAGTCTTTTGGATATAGAGATGGAACTATGCCCCGCTCTCACAAGACACATACAAATTGAGTCACCAAGGGGAAATTGCCTATGTTTTGCACGGATAGCAACAATATACTCATCTGATATAGATTGCTATCTTGAATTTTTGTTTGACATCTGACCTTAATTTCTCAAATAGTTAAGGTGCCTGAGGAGGAAGGGGTTGTCTTACCTGTGTCATCTCCAGTTCTACCCTGCTATTTTCTTTTGAGCTGTTTCTACCAGATATACCAGTACATTTCTTTTTAAGGTCTTTCTACTCTCACCAGAGATAACTACAGCTTTTAGGTAGGTAAAATTTGGCATTCTTTTTCATCTTCAGAATCAATATGAGATATTGATTGATTATCCCAGACTCTAGAGCCAACACTGGATAGATCTGAATCTCAGTTCAGCAATGTACATGCTGTGTGATCTTGGGCAAATTATCTGGTCTCTCGAGATTTCATTCTTTTCTACCCTAAAATACAAGTGAGAATAGTGCCAACTTCAGAGGGTTATACAGGGAGTAGTAAAATGACATTGTGTATATTAAAACAGGCATGGCGGTGCTCAAATTGCTCACTATCTTTGCATGACTTAGAGTACCAAACACAAATGCATCAACAGAAGTGGGTTATGTATGGACTAATTTTCTCTTTGACAGAGTATTTTTTTAGTCTCAAATGCAAGTTTCTAGAAACTGTGTCTCAAAGAGGAGGTTCCCTTACCTTTGGCAAGCGCTCGGGGTCCCCAGGGTGCCGGGGAATGACCTTCTGTAATCGCTGGAAACCGTAGTCGATGGTGGGTTCGTTGAGGGCTGCAATGAAGAAATCACACAGGACATTTTTCAGAAATAAAGACTGGTTTGCAACACAAATGTTGTAGAAATAATTTGGGGGCTATTTGGCATCTAATTGGCCCTTTTGAGTTCTAGCAGACATCTTTTCCACCATCCACTGCTACTTACCACGGAGGGAGGAGTAGAAGGAACATTGAAAGCAAGCAGGTTTTAGAACATAGCTCCTCAGGCCAAATTCTACATTCCTAGCATGATCTTACATGGAGAGTAACAGGATTATTTGCTGTGAAGTTTTGGGATTCACATCATTTCAGAAAGTCGGGCCAAAAGTCAAGGGCTTATTTTCAGGTATCTACACATTCTAAACAGCAGAAGACCATAAATGTATCTGTAAAATCTCTAGTGGGCCTCATGAGATCCAATATTTCAGCATCTTCTATGCAAGCAAGGTGGTGGAAGTCAAAGGGGAGTGAGAAGTACATCTAACCCTTGATAGAATCTGCAGAGGTAGGTATTGTACATATCCTTCGTTCAGAGCCTTCCCATCTGAAATAACAGACCTACTCAGAGCAGCTGAGTCCTAAGAAGGATTCTCTAAAAGACTCCAGAGAGCCAACTGTAATAACATTTGAAGACAGTGGGCCTCGTTGTGGACTACTAAAGACATACTCTTAAGTTAGGCCAAAGAGGAAGTGAAGTCCATACTCTCATTGTCAGAATTCCTCTCTAGAGTAGAAAATATGTTGAGCCTGTCTCACTGGGAAAGTAGGAGAGATGGCAGTCTTCTTTCTACCTGCAGTCCCAGTATCGTGAGTGATGAGTCGTTTTTACAATTCCTTTTCTTTTCTATTTTAACCAAAGTATTCAACTGCATATTTTCTCCCTTACTGAATAAAACGAGTCTTTGTAGTTCTAACATTTAACTATACATTAAAAAAAAAACAAGGTGCCACATGCTTTACTTAAAATGCATTTCCATTAACCTAAATTTTAAAAGTAAGATTCTTACTACTACTAACTTTAAAAAACTGTATTAAATTCAAATAGGTCCCAAGGCTAATGGAAGCAATTTGTATACCAACCCAAACTGACTGGCCCGCTTTTCAAAATACAGGTATGATAATCTCGTGGTTTTAAAAGGACATTTAAATTGGAAGACTGTGAATTTAGAACACAATTATATCAATAGAACCCTTTAACTTGTCAACTTGTAAATCTAAAAGGCTATCAATCATTGCCAGAGAGGAAATAAACCTTAAAATTCTTTGATTGACACTGCGTACTTTTTATGTAAGAAAAGAAGGGGGGCTGCATAACGTGGCCAGAAATCCATTTACAAAAGTACATTGTTTTACATAGGGAGTAAAAAGCCAGTAACTACACCTCCAAAAGACATAAATCAGAGTAAGTACTTTTTCTTCACGTGTATATTTTAAATCAGAGTGAACTTCAAGTAACTTTTTATTAAAAAGATTTCCCTCCAATGCAGTGCTTATTGCAGATGTTAATAGAGCTACGTGCTCATTTAGGATAATGTAATCTTTTTGCAAATGCAAGATTTAACCAACTCTCCCTTCCAAACAGTAAACTTTCAACCCATCTCTTGTGAAAATGAACTAAAATTACAGCCAGGTGTAGCGAATCTCTCTACTGGTCTATGAGTTAAGGTACAATATTTATTATTCCTCCCATTTTATGAGTTACTTTCTAAGCCCTTGAGAAGAATTCTTTCTTCAAATTAGACTTGTACAGAAAAAAAAAAATCCATAGAGCTCTTTAAGCAGGGAAGTTGGTACTCATAAAATTTGTGGTATTTAATCAAGAAATGCATTGGAGAGACAGGAGTGAGCTGGGGTTTAAGTTATGCATCATCTCTACTTACCCATCGTGCTAATTGGCAGAAAAATGTTTTGACCATAAGTAGTATCTTTAGACAATTAAGAGAATCACTTCTTTCTCAGAAAACATAATTCAGCATCCTAAAATATCGAATTCTTGCTTTTACCTGTTCCATCTAAGGCACCAAGTTGTTGGCCCACCCCTTCCAGCCTTCCATAATGAATTCCTATTGTGTCTCAAAACCCATAGATGTTAATTGAAAAGCTGATGTATTGGTGGAGGTAGTGGGGTGTGTTCTGGCTGTAAGGGCAACTCACTGCAGAATGACTGACACTTAATATCAGCAATTTAAAAAATCAATTCAAATATCATATGGAACTAATAGCTAAAAATCTGAGGAGTCATTCTGCTGCCACAAAGTGTAATTGAATTAGACATATTAAGCTCATTACACAAAGAAAAATAAACATCTACTCAAAGGAAGTAAACTATGAGAGAGAAGATACTTTAAATATCAAGGTGAATTTCTCCTTTATTTCCTATGCCTTTAGGATTTGCTCTCTGTTCACATTTTAAAGCATGCTGACCCACACTACCTCACTTTGAGTATTATTATAATGGAATCTTCCAGAACTATAGACAATGCTTCCACTAAAGTTATGCAAGACAAGTTCGCTGTCCAATCTCAGAGGAATCTGGGAATTTCTCTAAGAGCAATGACTGGGGGTGGGGGGGGGGGAATGAGTGTGTGAAGGAGGTCACCTGCTAAGGATTGTTAGTTTTAAAAACAGCCATGGTTCCCTGGGAGGAAGAAAGGAACTGAGTATGATGCAGAGGAGAGGGAACACAAGATAGAGTATTACACAGATGAGATTATTATGATGCAAGTATCAAAGTTGATGTCACATGGAAAACATTATTTACTGACATATAATGTGCTACCTTTAAAAGACTACAGGAAGTTGGGCATGATGGTGCACACATTTAATCCCAGCACTAGGGAGGCAGAGGCAGGTGCATCTCTGAGATCCAGGCCAGCCTGGTCTACATAATGAGTTCCAGGTCAGCTGGGGCCCAAAAAAAAACCCTGTCTAAAAAAAAAAAAAAAAAAAAAAAAAAAAAAAAAAAAAACCAAAAAGGCTACAGGGCCATGTATATAATCTGGTTCCTTTTTAATGTATATGTACAGAAAGAATTCTGTGTACAGACTGATGAACATTAGTTATTTCTAAGCCATGATTCCTAAAGTGCTCTTCCTCTCTCCTTTGGGCTGTGCATTCTGGGTTTTATTTTTCCCCACAATGAACATATATTACTTTTATAATCAGTGATAAAGGTTAAGAGCAAGAAATTGTTGCTGAGATAGAATTTGACCTGCTTGTATAAAGTAATGACATAAGAAACTATGCCTTAAAAGGGGTCTGTATACCCTTTAATAACCTTCATAGGTTATTACAGACCATAAGAAAAATAAGTAGTATACTTTTGGCCAGTTGTATAAATATGTGACTATTCATAAACTCTCAGAAAATCAACAGAGAGGGTAATGGGGAAGAATCATAAAGAAGGTATATTTATTTCATCAGCCTGGGTAGCAGGTCCTTAGGGACACACATCTACTCTGCAAGAATGTAATATAAAGTTAATTCTTCAACAAAGTGGCCTCATTGTGCTCAAGTGCAGGGCTCAGGGCACCAGTAGAAATGGGACTAATCAATTTTTTTCCCCTCAAACTTGGGACAATTCCGAGAATCTGGTAAAGAAAGGAAAAAATAAAAAACAACTTAATTGAGCATAATTAACCACAAATAAAGAAGTATGAGCATCTTGGGTTGAAAGAAAAGACCATGAGGATTAAGCTGGAAACTGCGCAAGGCTCAGGATGGCAGAAGTGGCCCTTTCGGCCCTGCTTCCAAACATCTCATCTATACATCTGAGGAGGTTTATAGAGGCTGCCATCCCCAGACCAGGTAAGGACGACAGCAGGATGAAGCAGGTTCACAGGCTTAGAAAAAGGCGTTTTCTCCCAATAGAAATGATTCAATGTTTGAACCCTCTGAATACAACGGGACCAATGTATGCATTTTTCAGTTGCCAAAAGATATGGGTTGCAGGCAGCATTTATTACAGAATCATTTATAATGATGACCACATACATTTATAAGAATTAGCTGTTTTGTGTCACAACATCCTAAGCCCTTAAAAATAAATTCTGCGCAAGGAATGCATTTCACCACTCTGCTGGACTTCTGAGGAAGGGTGATATGACATTTAGAGGGAACATGGAGTTAAATAGTAACTGGCCTATTGGAGAAGCACAATTCAATTTGAGATGCCTTCCACTGACCCCCTTCAAGCTTATTTTCTAGTAGATAGAGAGTTGTGTACAGTGAACTAGGAGAAGTCTAAAACTTTCCTGAAAACATAAGAAAGACAAGGACAAATGTTCTTAACAGAAGCACGAAGATACAGGGCAAATCAGATGGCCAACTGAGACGTCAGGGGGCCCTCCCACCCACAGCTGTGATATGGCTCTGGGAATGGGCCCGGAAGGGAGGGTGCTCTCTACATCCAGTGTTCACATTTCAGCTGCAGAAAGCTACTTCTTTTGGGGGAAAAAAAAAAAAAAAAAAGTTAATTAAATGGTTAAAAATATCAAGGCATTTCATCTGCCTGCATTGGGACTGCTTGCAAATAAATAATGGCTTCGGGTTCCTTCCCAGCCTCCTCAGCTCAAAATCCCCTAAAGGGAACCAGTAACTTTCCATTCCCAACAGTCGTTATGAGGCCTTTCTCCTGGTGGGCGTCACCCCAGGTGCTGCCAAAATAGAAAAGCTTCAGCTACACAAAGCAATTGTAACAGTGTCCAAATGTTCCTGCAGCATGAAATACTATATTCAAAGAGAATGTAGATAAAACAACCAGATTTTATGCACTAATACTAATCAGAAGATTAGCAAATTCAATTTAAAACATCTCATAATGAGTCAATTCTGGCCCAATTTATATGTGCCCCCCCCCTTTTTTTTAAAAAAAAAAAAGGAAGTCTGCTTCATAAATGCATCAAGAAAATTCTCCTTCAGGGTATTTATTTGCAAATTAAAGTCTTACAGTCAAGGTGGTCCATTCTCAGGAAAATTTATTGTTCTCTGTGCAGTTCCCTTTTAAAGAACTCACTC